GCTTGCTTGGTGACCCCTGTACATTCTCATGCTCAATCTTGAAAGTACTACTTCCATTTTATAAGGGATTATTGCCAGGCCCAGCCAACTTTGGCTTTGTAGTTTAATACATAATGGGCAGTTTGGGCTGCATCGTCACTTGCTGGCTTGTGGTCAGGCATTCCATCTCTATCAGAGCCCAGTGGCACATCAGAAGATAAACATCAGAAGATAAATTTTTTCCACTGAAAGGCATAGAATTCTCTGCTCCTGGTGGCATGACAGAACCTCTTGGTTGTGTATCTCCTACAGGGGCATACCAGAAACTCTACATTGCATCATTCCTCACCATTGATAACCACTAATACCATATCTGCTAGACCCTATGGCCAGGGGGGTAGAGCTATTACATCACAGCCTGGATCTACTGCAGATGCTTTTCCTGTTCTGGGCCCTTCAAAACTGGCAGTCTTCCAAACCCCTCAATATTTGAGCCAGAGTAATATTCCCAGGCATGGGGTATGCTGTCTCCAGAACCTGAGGCAAGAATCAGCTCAAGCACCATCAATTTTCTTTCTTTTTCTTTTTGAGACAGAGTCTCGCCCTGTCACCTGGGCTAGAGTGCCATGGCGTCAGCCTAGCTGACAGTAACCTTAAACTCCTGGGCTCAAGGGATCCTCCTGCCTCAGCCTCCTGAGTAGCTGGGACTACAGGTGCATGCCACCACACCCGGCTACTTTTCCTATTTTTTTGTAGAGACAGGGTCTCGCCCTTGCTCAGGCTGGTCTTGAACTACTGACCTCAAATGATCCTCCCGCCTTGGCCTCTCAGAGTGCTGTGATTACAGGCATCAGCCGCTGAGCCCAGCCTGTCTTGCTTTCTTGATGGTAGGAGGTACAAGATGCAAGAATTCTTTTGCTTTTGGAAGGGATGCCCTAGAGTGCCCCTGATCACTGGATCCCTAAAAACATTAGGACATAGAAGGCTCCTGGACTTTTATAGGTTGTATCCCAGTCTCTGGGGCAGCTAGTCTCTAGCATCTCCCCCACCTCTTGCTCATATGGCTGATCAGCATGCCATCGATGTAGAGGAGCAATGTAACATTCTCCAGGATGTCCAGATCTCTTTGGACTGACAGAGGGCCAGAGAGATAAAAAACTTCAGGCAAATCTATTTTTATTCCATATGAAGGCAAGTTTCTGATCCCCTTTTCTGATAGGGGCAGAAAATAACACATTCACCAAGTCAACAGCCAAATCTGGCACAGAGGCTGCTGTCAGGGCTGCTTCTCGTGGAGCTTGCCATAGTGACCCTCAAAACCACCACCAGATGTCAACAAAGGAGGCTGTCATCTCAGGATACTTCCGATTTCCACAGGGGTCATGCTGGTGAATCAAAGATGCTGGGGACCACCACTCTGCATCCTTTAGGTCCTTAAAAGTGGCACTAATCTCTGCCATTCCTTCTCCCTGATGTGATCTTGTTTTATGATTTTGGCAGGGGACAGAGTACTTTCAGGTTTCTGTTTGGCCTTTCCCATTTTAATATCTCTAACTTTATAGGTCAGGGACTAGAATTGAGCATTAATTGCCAAGTATGTTGATGCCAACTTTGGGGTCTGAGAAAATGACCACCAACTGGGCCCCCAGTAGACTGGACCTTGAACAGGATTCATTACCTGAACTGCAGTCATCTTAACAGGAGAGGATCATGCTTCAAGTGTCTGGATATCAAAGTCAATTTAGATCCTGTGTTCATCAGTTTTAAAAATGTTTGGCTAATCACTTTTCTCCCGAGTGTAGTTATCCAAGGAAATGGCTATGGATTCATCTCTGTGTATATCTGTGCTATGTTATAGGCCTTTCTTCTTGGTATTTGGCAACCTCTTCAGTAAAGTTTCCATTTCTGAAAATTGGCTGGCATCCAGAAACGGCATGGAATCCTGACTTTTAAAAATTAGGGCAACCATCTTGGTTTTCTTGGTCATCTATCATTGTTTTCTCCACTAGTATCTTTCTCAGTTGCCCATTTATTTTGCCTCTACGGTGCCATATTTATTAATCATTTCTGCAACTCTCTATGGGTGAGGGCCCCTTGGCTGCGACTCAGACATTGGTCGCTATTATAATTGCAATCCTCTGACTTTTGTCAGTTAAGTGCTGCTGTTTCCTGGCTTCTTTTGTTTTAGGATCCCATCATACCCATTGCTATCACCTATCCACGTGCTGGAACAGCCTTTCCTACTGTCACTCTTGCCTACAGAGGTGAGCCATCACCAAACATTCTAGTGACATCAGTGCCCCTTTCATCAGCCTATGTCTAATGACTTTTATAAATGATGTTTTATGCTGCCACCATGTAGAATATAATTACCTGGCAGGTCTTCCATAAGCACAAAGTATATAAATTTCAGCATGCTACCCCCTTCCATGACATTCTCGGCCACAATCATTCTGCCATTTCAACTTTGCTTATCATAGCCCATAGCTTTTTCCATGTTTGGTATTTTAAATATATATTTGCAAATTCTTTGATACATTTCCTTTAGGAGATGGAGCCTAATATCCCCTTGAATATGGGTGATTTAGTGACTAATTTCTAACAAATGAGAAGTAGCAGAAGTGATGGTATGTAACTTCTGAGGCAAGTTCACAAAAAGGATATAGCTTCCCTTTGTCCTTTGTCTCTGGATTGCTCTTGGAATCTAGCCATCACATTGTGAGGAAGCCTAGGCCACAGGGAGTGGCTGTGTATGGGTGTGCTTGCTAACATCCCCAGCCTGGGCTCCAGCCAGCCTTCAGCATCAACTGTCAGACATGTGCATAAATGAACCTTCACATCATTGCAACCTCCAACCTTTGAGCTGCTCCAGTTGAGGTCCCAGATACTATGCCCTGACCCATAGTAACCTAGAGAGGTAATAAATGATTCTTGCTGTTTTTTTTTTTTTTTTTTTTTTGAGACAAAGTCTCGCTTTGTTGCCTAGGCTAGAGTGAGTGCCATGGCGTCAGCCTAGCTCACAGCAACCTCAAACTCCTGGGCTCAAGCGATCCTACTGCCTCAGCCTCCCAAGTAGCTGGGACTACAGGCATTCGCCACCATGCCCGGCTAATTTTTTTTTATATATATTAGTTGGCCAATTAGTTTCTTTCTATTTATAGTAGAGACGGGGTCTCGCTCTTGCTCAGGCTGGTTTCGAACTCCCGACCTCGAGCAATCCACCCGCCTCAGCCTCCCAGAGAGCTAGGATTACAGGCGTGAGCCACCGCGCCCGGCTTGATTCTTGCTGTTTTAAGTCACTATGTAGTAGCCTGTTATGTAACAATAGATATACCATCATTCTAGGAGCCATCCTTTCATGCAGTCTTTGCCAGGGTGTTAAATCTCATACCTTGGAAGACTGCTCATGTTAACAGATTCATCTACCCAATTTTACCTTCCAGCTCCATTTATCAAGCACCCTGTAATTCAGTACCATACAAACTTTCCCAGCTGCTATCAGTACATGCTGGCTGAGTAGTACAGCTTGTTGTGGGTTGAATTGTGTTCCCCTTGTCCCAAAAGATACTGAAGTTCTAACTCCCAATACCTATGAATGTGACTGTATTTGGAGATGGGTCTTTGCAGATGATCAAGTTGAGTTCATTAGTGTGGGCCATAATCCAGCATGACTGAGGTCTTTATAAACAGGGACCATGTCTAATTATCTTTGTAAATGATGTGTTACTTATGCCTTTATTTGGACAGACATGCACACAGGAAGAGCACCAAGTGAATATGAAAGCAGGGATTAGGGTGATGTACCTATAAGCCAAGGAAGACAAAGACTGCCAGCCAAACTATCAGAAGCTAGGAAAGAGGCATGGAACAGATTCACTCTCAGAAGGAACCAACCCTGCCAATACCTTCATCTCAGACTTTTAGCCTCTAGAATTCTGAGACAATAAATTTCTTCCCAGTTTGTGGTACTTTGTTAACTGAAGCCCTAGGAAACTAATACATAGCTCTTTTGAGGGGGAAGGGACTATAGTCCTTTTTCACTTGCATTATGTTTTCACCATAATTGTACATCTAGCATATGGTAGGTGGGGGAAAAGGAAGAGGAGTGCTAGGTTAGTAGGGAGAGGTGAGCCACATGGGTTGGATTCAAAGGTTCAAGGAAGTTTGGGGAGTCAAAACCTTTGAGGGCATATACCCAGATATCTCCAACCCATGTGTAATGGGCTCATCTATTCCTAACTTAGTGTAAGAGCATTGTCTTATTTGAGTGTTTTACTGATTTTGGAGTTCAGTCACTCAGGGATATTAATTCTGGGGCCTGGTCTTTGTCTTTGTCCTACAGGAGACAAGAATTTCTTTGTATGTAACCAAAGAGACTCCCTGGCATTCAGTTGTTTGTTGTTCACCATCAGATGTCCATATTTTTCTTAAGAGCCTCAGTGGTGCTAACTAATAGCTAGCCCATAGTCTTATCCTTCGTTATGGCTACTATTTTCACCATATGTGAAATACCCGATATGTTGCCTGCTAGTGTATTCCACTTCACTGCTTCACCCTACTACTTCACCACCAGTGAGTGACTGACTCAGCCTCAAACCCCATCTTATCACCTGCTTTAACTGCTGCAAGATGGTTTCTCCAGAAGCAGATGCTGAGATGGAGTTTGGGGTACATTTATTTGGTATCAACACCTGTGAAAGGAAGGGGAAGGAAGCAGGATTGGGCAGAGGAAGCAACAGAAGTACATGCAGGCCCGGCAAAGCTTTGGCCAGCCTGTAGACCTCTAGAGCAAGTACTGCTCATCAGAGGGTTTCTGTTTGGCCAAATGACCAGATCTTACTTTATTCTTCTGCCTTTCTCAGTAATCAGGTATGGACTGCCCCAGGATGAGACCTCAGGCAAGGTGACTCTCCGTGCTACACATATCCACCACATGCCACCCTTGCACCACTCCGACACACTTCCCATATACATTTGGGGAGCAGCTCTTTCACAATCCTTGAGGGTCCCTCTCAGCTTACCCACATCAGGCCACCAGGCTCCAAATGTCTTGTTCCTGAGAAAAGAAAACAACTTTTATCTGAGGAGTGCAAGCCCTTATCAGGCCTAGAGAGAACCCAATAGTCCTACTCTCCCTTGGAATTGTGTATTAACCTCTTGAAACTGCTTGCTGTTGATTGCCACAAGTAGCTATAAATTAACCTAATAATGCCGCGCCAGACATTAGGACTCACACTCCACAGCTTTACCATGTAGAGCCAATCACTAATCAACGTTATTACCGTAAACCGGTGAGAATTTCTGACGTTTGTACCAGCCCAACCCCGGGCCCCCTTTAAAACCGCACTTGTAAGCGCCACTAGTCAGTGTCCATTCAGGGCAACTGGGGTCCACGCTCCTGGGCTGCAATCCCCAACCGTGGACCAAACAACCCTCTACTCACACGGCGCCTCAGCTGCCTCCTTCCGAGAGGCATCCCCTGTCCCTCGCGGTCCGCACGGCTGCTGGAGCGCCTTCCCGCCACCACGAAGAGAGCGAGCGAGCACCGTCCGGGCCCGAGGAACGCGCCTCGCCCGCACCGGCCCGCGCGAGTTCGGGGCGCCCACGGCGGGACGCCCAGGCCGAGGAGGGCGCGCCCGGCGGCCGGCAGGAAAACCCGCGCCCAGACCGGGCCCGCCTCAGGCCCAATGGCGGCGCCGGCCGCGCCCACAGCCTGTCGGGAGGGCGCGCTCCCGCTCGCCCAATGGGAGCCCGAAGCGGCCGGACTCGTCCTCTGGGCCAATGGCCACGAGCCTCGGTGTTGCTGGGCGGGGCCGGAATCCCAGCGGGGGCCGAGGCCCACGGCGCAGGCGTGATGCCTCCCGCCCCACCCGCGCGCTCGCACCCCAGCGTAGGGCCGGCCGGGCCGTCGTGAGCGCGCCGGGCGGCGGCAGCACTGAGGAGCCGCCCGCCCCGTCCCCGCGCCGGCGCGCTGCTGCTCTGGCAGTGCCCGGGCCCCGCAGTCTCCCGCTCGCCGCTGGGCCGATGCAGGTCGTAGGGTTGAGGGGAGCAACGTAGCCGCCGCCTACGCTGCAGTCGCTGGGCCCGGACCCGCCCCGCTCTGCGTGCCAGCCCGCCTGGCCATGGCCGATCGCGGGGGCCCGCTGGAGGCGGCGCCGCTGCCCGCCGAGGTGCGGGAGGGCCTGGCCGAGCTGGAGCTGGAGCTGTCGGAAGGTGAGCGGCTCGGGCCCGCCCCTCACCCGGGACCCCTGCCCCACACCCCTCACCCTTGGACCCCGCCCCTCATCCCTGGAACCTGGGACCCGAGCCCCAGTCCCTTCACCCCTGGACCCCGCCCCTCACCATGGGGACCCTGGCCTCCCGCGCGGCTCCTCACCCGGGGACCTCCGCCCCCTACTCCTCACCCCGGGACACCGCCCCTCAACCGGGGACCCCATCACCGGGGACCCCCGCCCCACACCTCTCAACCTGGGACCCCGCCCCTCACTCGGGGTCCCCCGCGCGGTCCCTCACTCCTGAGACGCCCCCCACTCCCGGTTTCTAGAGACCTAATCCCAACCCTCACCCCTCCCCGCCCCAGGTCCCCGTTCGGGATGGCTTTGGCGAGGTTGTTCCGCCTCAGGCGCATGAATCTTGGAAATGACCATTTTTGCTTTGAGCCTCGCTTGTCCCAAGGCTGCAGGTCTGGGCTTCACTGGCTTGTCAGCAGGCAGCCGCTTCCGTGCAGGGCGCGGACCTACGAGCCAAGCCCTGTCCTGGAACTCGGTGAGGTGCTGCACCTTATGCCTCAGTTTCTTCATCTGTAAAACAGAGTTATAAGTTTTCTCTCCAGATTGTTATGAGGCTAAGAGACCTTAATATATTCAAACCACTTAACACTTAGGAGGTTGTTAGCCCACTTTAGGGAATTTTTAAAAGTTAAAAAAATGTTCAATAAATGATTTACTGGACTGGAGTAATACGGTTTAAGTGGTGGTGAGTGGCATTTCCCATTCGAATGTTATTCCTCCCTAGGGCCTATGTCCTGATGTTACTTTCAGCTGTTATTAGGAAAGAGTTAGTTCTTCCCCAGTACCAGGAAGGCCTTGCAGCCCTTGAAGAAAAGTATCTAAATGTTTCTTAACTCTTTTTGAGACTTAAGTCTATTTTCAGCTTTTAGAATCCATTCTTTAATAATGTTATTCTTTTAAGTTTCAGATTGATATGTTTTGCTGGAGCTGGGGTAGTGAATTCATTAAACAACATCTAATAAAATATACACTGGCATAAAGTAACTCATTTAATCCTCACCAACCTTAGGGAGGTAGGTGCGGTTATCAGTTATCTTTGTTTTACACATAGTATAACATCTACTTGCAACTGTTCAGGATTCAACATTTAAATTTTTTAAATTTCTGTGATATGTGGCACATTTTAAAAGATGGAAGCGCAAAAAGAAATGGTGGGTTTGAGAATTCTTAGTGATTAGATGCTCTTGGGAAGTCTGAAAAACTCATTGCTTCTGACAGGATCTACTGTACTGCATTTGTTAAGGCTCTTCATCTAGGGAAATCATGTTGATGCAGTTTAGGTTCTATACATTTCAAATATGTATTTGCAAATTGCTCCTAATTTCTGCTCCAGTGTATTCATTATTCCCTAAACTTCTTGTTGTCTTATGGTGGTTATGTTTGATTGTTTGCAGGAATTGATGGGTAAATCAGTTGGATCCTTTCCTCAGAGAACTTAAAAATTTGTGTGACAGAACACAAATACGTTAATGAAAGAAATGTTTCTTTTCTATTGAATCCATATACTATTGTCATTTTAGACATATGTAGGGGTTGTATAGGTAAGTAAAGGTATAAGATTATGTAACATGGAGATGAACTTGGGAAAGTAGCTAAAACTGAGAAAGGGGGTAGACAGAAAGTGTTCAGGGGAAGAGACAGTAGAGTGCAGCAGCAGGTGGGAGCCCTGGCTTCTTTCCCTGCTACTAGACTGCCCTGACACCTTTCTTTTGGCCAAAATAGGTCAGTGATTATTTGGGCACGTCACAGTTGGCCCTGCTCCCAGGGCACTTCCACACCTTTAATGCTGGCTTCTGTAGTTTGTGTTGTGATAGTTGTTGACATGGGGCCTCCCTGTTGGACTTGGAGAAGCTTGGTGATAGGGACTGTGTCTTAGGCAGATTTTTGGCATCTTCACCTGGTGGCTGGCAGTGTCCATGAATCAATACTGAATTATAACATCTCTAAACTTGGGTCTGGTTATCTGTAAAAGGAGGTGAATACCACCTTTACTGATGTTCTGGGTTTCTTGTAAAGATTCATTCAGACAGTTTATGTGAAAATGCTTTGAAACTGGTGAGGTGTTTTATTGATATAATTAAAAGGAGATATAACTAATCATAGTCCTAAAACAATAAAAGTTAGTGTTTCCTTGTCTTTATCATTTTTATATTTTGTACAAGCAGAGTTTGTAAAAAGTGAGACTCACTCACTCTGTTCTGTGACCTCCTCCCTTCCCATTCAGTGGGAAAGATAAACTTCTAATTCAGAATACAGTAATGTCAAAATAAGATACCTCCTTTATGGCACTCAAATTGTCTAAGTGAGAAATTGCTTAAAATTTAGAGTTGTCACAGTGCTAGGTAGGCTAGAGGGAAGAAGCAGCTTAACATAGATAAGATGTCACCTTCATGGGAACTGGTAGTGAGTAACACCTGGATAATCTGAAAAATCCTGTACATCTTGCCCTGAGTCTGTTCGAAGTATCCCCTTGCCCTTAACTCACATCTGACTGTAGTCTCCAACATCTTCACTGGATTCTCATCATTAACCGTTATGATTGGGGTTGGCCCTCAGGGAAGATTCTGGTCATAGAATGCAATGATTTCTTCTCACAGGACAGGTTTGCTGAATTTCTGTTATGAATTCCCAAGAGGGAAATAAGGCACAGCTGTGTTCTTGCTCCCTAACTTTTCTGCCTATTTCAACCTTTTTGACTTAGGGTCTCCTTCAGATTAAAATGAAGAGGAAGGGTGGAAGTACGTGGAATCCCACTCTTAGACCCACTCCCTCAACTATGAATTCATACATGTAGCTCCTGAAAGCATATCAGAATGTTGTTGGATGAAGGTGAGATTATTGAGGGTATAACCTTGATTTTTAAAAAAGGAATTAATTCCCAAACCTTTATGCTTGTTATTCTAACAAATTATCTCACAACTGATTTTGTCACAATATCTTGAAGCTATTGCTGCTAAACTGCTTTAAAAACATGAACAATGGTATAAGGTTTGTTCTTTGTTTTAGTAGCCTATAGTGAGTTAGAGAGGAAATTCCTACACAATAGTCTACACTTGTCCCATTTCTATTACTTATTCAGGTTAATAGGTCTATTCTATAGCCTTAACTTTAGTCTTTTTCTTGTTTCCCTACATTCTGATAATGCAGGGACTCCAGTCTGGCTGGAGTCAAATGAAAAGGGCAGAAAGCTCAGGTGGTAGATATACAGGAAGGTAATCTGTCACAAAGATTTTTTTTTTCTTTAACTGTATTTAGTTTCTAAAATCTGTGATATAATTTTTATTTATTTTTATTTTTTTGAGACAGAGTCTCACTCATCGCCCTGAATAGAGTGCCATGGTGTCAGCCTAGCTCACAGCAACCTGAAACTCCTGTGTTAAAGTCATTCTACTGTCTCAGCCTCCTGAGTAACGGACTACAGGCATGTGCCATTATGCCTGGTTAATTTTATATATATATTTTTTAGGTGTACAGCTTATTTCTTTCTATTTATTTTTTAGTAGAGACGGGGTCTGACTTTTGCTCAGGCTGGTCTCGAACTCCTGAGCTCAAACGATCCTCCCGCCTCGGCCTCCCAGAGTGCTAGGATTATAGGCGTGAGCCACCACACCCGGCCCCTGTGATATAATTCTTAATTTTTAAAATGACAGCCTGACATTGCCTTCATGTCAGTAAACATTTGTTGTGCTTCCCAAATATTTTGTGGTATGTAAAAGTTATCATGTCCAAATTCTACTTACCTGTCAAAGCTTAGCTCAAATGCCCTCTGTCTTAGTCCATTTTGTGTTGCTATGACAGAATACGACAGGTGGGGTAATTTTTAAAGAAAAGAAATTTATTTTGCACACTCTGGAGCCTAAGAAGTCTAATATTAAGGTGCTGGTATCTGGCAAGTGCCTTCTTGCTGTATCATCCCATGGCAGAAGGCAAGAAGGCAAGAGAACGTGGTGTGCACAAGAGAAGAAGGGGGGCACACTCATCCTTTAAAATTTTTTTTCGAGACAGAATCTTGCTCTGTCACCCAGGCTAGAGTACAGTGGCACCGTCATAGCTCATTGCAACCTTAAACTCCTGGGCTCAAGTGATTCCCCCTGCCTCAGCCTCCTTAGTTGCTGGGACTATAGGTACACACCACCACACCCAGCTATTTTATTTTGCTTTTTTTTTAGGAACAGAATCTCCCTGTGTTGTCCAGGCTGGTCTTGAACTCCTGGCCTCAAGCTGTCCTTCTGCCTTGGCCTCCCAAAGTGCTAGGATTACAAACAGGAGTTACCTCACAGCCCCAGCCTAGCCTCAACTAATCCTTTTTATCAGGAACCCACTCCCTGATAACTAACCCATTCCCACAATGATGGCTTTAATCCACTCATCATCT